GACTCAACTTTGTCTGATACCTTATCGAAGCTAATGCCCTTGTGCTCTGGCTTGTATTGTTTTTGGCGATAACACTTAAGTACAAAATGTCTATTTTTTCGAATAAATCCATAAAGTTGATCCTTATCATGTTTAACATCACATATAGGGCATTCTTTAGAGCGGAGCTTATTATTACATAATACAGATTGTGATTGAAAGTTAATAAACTCTTTTTCGATTCTTCCAATCTGGAGCTACTCATATTTTACAATAGCTAAATTAGCCCCATTAACCAAAGCATTTTCATTATCGATGGGCTGAAATTCTTGTTTTACTGGCTCCTCTGAAGAGAAGGTTTGTGGCCAGATCACAGAATAATTCTCTTTAGGCTGAACCAGATAATCATCTAGAATTTTAAATCTATTTTTTACAGAAGAGATAGCAGGTCTTTTTATACGACCTTCCTTTGCTAATTCTAGAAGCCGGAGATTGAAATGTGTTTTGGGAAGGCCAATGTTAATAAATTTCAAATAAGGTTCCCCAACTAATTCCATAACTTTTTCTGTAAATCCCTTAAGTTCTCTATAATCTATAAATTGGGCCTGAGGATAAATAATATGCCAGCTATATTTCTTAGCATTTGATAAACTAGCTAAGGCAAAAGAATTTAAGAAAGGTATATAATCAGGAATAAGGCTTAATGCATCTGCACAAGTGACTAAAATTCGAGATATTAAATCTTCTCGGTTAATTTTTTCACTATTTAAAGAAGCATGTTTAGGATTATTTGGATCAGGTTTTTGTCTTGTATCAATATTAATAATTAAGCGTAGAGGCTGGTTTCTATCAATACATTCATGGGTATCAGGTATTCTATAAACTTCAGAGGGATGATCGATCACTGTATAACCTTTTCCTGCTATCTGAATTATATATTGAGAATAAATCTCTTTGGGTCGATATACATCTAAAAGCACAATATCATTTCTATCAGAAGAGCTGGTATAGCCATTGGATGCAAGCCAGTATTTATAAAATATATGTTCTCTATGGCCAGGTTTATTTTCAAGATCTGTTAAACCCATAAAAAGCTATTTTGCTTTATTATATTCGGCTAACTTTTGATTTAAGCACTGTTGCTGTAATGATTCACGAAGACGTTTATTTGCTTCACTAGACAAACTCATTTTATTGATTTGTATATATGTTGTTTGTATATGTGCGTTGCTTAATCTGACAAAAAGTATATGTTATTGAAACTATATTAATTGGTAGATAAATCTTTAAAATAAAATTAATTATTTCAGAAATTTTATCCGAACACCAAAAAAATTATATATTTGATTGGAGTAATTATTATATATAATCACAATGATATTATACTATTGCTTATATATTCATAGAACTGGAGAAATCTGTGGTCGATATAGTAAATCAGAAAGATGTTATATTCATCGTAATTCTCCAATACCTACTCCTTGTAGAGATTGTGGTGAGTCAAATAGGTCTAAATATAATGCATACAATAAACACATAAGAAAATATAAAAGTAAAGAGAATTATGACAGAAAAAAGCAGGATGAGTTATGTGTACAAATTACCAGGTTTAAGAATTATATATCTGACTTTCCCGATTCTATACACGAAGTCTAATCATATATCTGGCATACGTATATATTGATTATTTTTCCAGAACTTCTTATTTTGGAAAAATGATACTTATATGCCTAAATAATGTTATATCCTCTTTGATGCCTTCTATATTTTTGGTAATTTTATTGTGTAAAGCTACAGATTCCAAGACTTTATTTCAGAAGAAATAACACTTTGTGCCTGATCAAACTTGTGTCTTGTTCGCATCTATTTTCTGATAAGATTACTCAAACAGCAATCCATTCAATTTTGGATATATATACCGACTCATGATAATTAATTTCGAATTAAAAAAAATAAGTAGATTAATGTATAATCACATTCTACTTATCGATATAGATTATTTACATATCTATCATAGCAACTGTCTGAAAAACTAGAAAACCCAAAACTAATAGCTTTACCTTCATTTTGGATCAGGTCCTCAATAAATATAACCTATCGACTGAATCAAACCCGCTTCAATTACGTGCTCATACTGATGAGCTTAGTACTATGCTACCAGATTGGAAGGCTCGTAAAGATGTGAAAGAGGCTCTCCATTAGTGCTTATTCAAAGAAAATCAAATAGGAGCTCTGGTTCCAAACAACAAAAAGAAAAGGCCTACTATTAAGAAAAAAGCTCAATATTGTGCAAAAACTAAAGATGTGTGGGATATTTGGTTATATGCTTTAGACTTAGCTATGCCAAAAAATAATACAGATGAAGCAATTGTAGCAGCCAGTTCTCGTGTTTCACAATTTCATAGAGAGTTAGCAGAAGCTGAAGTTGGTTCCAAGCAAATTTATATATATGTCAAATTACTAGAAGTTACTCAAGCTTCTAACGAAATTCAAAAGAGTCAACTCGAACAGCGATTACCCAATCCACCTAAAACTCCCAAACACTTTTCCTTAGAGGAAGGACTTAGAAGAATTCAAAATATCAATACTACTAAAATCTCTACTATACAAGATCTTGCAAATGTAATTATAATGTTGAGTATGAGACCTGCCGAAGTTGCCACTCTTCGTATTATTCATTATGAACCTGGTGAATCGAATCCTCCTGAATGGTACAAGCCTGGTTATTCTTGGTATTGTATTGGGTATATTAAAAATAAAGAAGAAGCAAAAAATAATCCCAAACCTCAGCAATTTCTATTATAGAAAAGAATCCAAAATGTGCAAAAGAATTGCTTACTTGGATCCAAGATATAATAGCAACTAGAAAGTTATGCAATCCTGTCTATAGTATTAATAGAAAACGCAGTACAGGAGTATTTAGTAAATTTTTAAAATCATATGATATTACAGCCAAAAGATTAAGAAAAATTGGAGGTAAACATGCTTCTAGAGTTCATAGTAATCAAAATCCAACTTCACAACATCTCGAATTCCTTAGCAAAGTTGCAATAAGGCATAAGATAGATCATCATAATTCTGAAATGTATTATGCTGAGGGTGATACTTCCGATTCTGATCTTGACTCAGATCCAGAACCTGAAACCTGAAGCCCTAGCTCCTACACTCAAGATAATTAATGAGAACAAGTAATCATCTAATATATTTACATTTTAAAACTGCTAAATCTATATAATTATTTTCACTATATAAGTATTGAATTATACCCCATCAGGTAATGGGTCTTCTGCTTTCAACCCATATCTGGCACGCAATAAATCTGTAAAGAAGTAGCGATTATAATTAGCGATTTTTAACAACATAATACAATGAAAAAGATTAACACAAACATACTAGCCTATATTAAATAATTACTTATCTATGTTTCCCTGCCTCTTATCACAAGATCTTTTTGGTATCTCGGTTTGACTTTTTTTCAGTTGGGAGAGTATAATTCAGTTATTCAGATCTCGTGTGTTATTGAGATCTTGCCAAGGGATCATAGAAATAACTGTACTATGTGCATCTCTTTCGATATCTGCCTCTAGATCTTCGTATATAGACGAAATAAACGATACTATATTAGATTCGTGTAATTAATATATAACAGTAAATTAAATTTTTTGTGTGATGTTAGACAAGATTCAACATATAAACAAATCTTAGTCTGGGGCCATGATCTATTAAATCACATGCAGTAGCGATATTATGTGTATCTTGGATGAATCGATCAATTGCCATAAAATAATACCCGAACATATCATGTTTTTGCTCAAACTTTCTAGCATATTCTTAATAGCATATAGGTAGTATTTGGCCTATATATCAAAGTTACTATAGAAGTTTCTGTAATATAAGAGATGATATATTAGCCTTGCTACTTCTACTAATAAAATAGAATAATTTTGTTAATGATCGATGATATGCAATTTACCTCTAAATATAATTGGAGTAGTAAAATTAAATCCAGCATCTAACCAAAATCAAGTAATATTACACAAGTTAGGTTCTAGATATCGTGTATATTAATCGAGGTCTTGATATAACAGTTATCATTATAATTGTAATAATTCATCATATCTACTAGATTTCATAAATGACACCTACCTTGATTTAAGTTACCTAGACCACATATTGTTAAGTTTTTAGATCTAGGTCTTCATTCTCAAAATTAGAATTTACACTTATATTGCGATAATAACGTAATTAATATTTTTTTTCAGTATGTTCTGGTCTTTACCAACAAAGAGATCGAATTAGATTTATTGCAAAGCAATGTCACTTACGTGTTTAGGTCATGAAATCTTATATAAAAAGGATTCAAAAATTTTTAGTCAATCCTTCTATGCTCTTATTAGTAATATCTGTAAAAATAAAAATAATTAAAACTTTTAATAAACTTTCACATCTTGTACCTTAACTTTACCAAGATAATAAAAAAAATTTCTAGGTGTAATAGTCCTGCTAAAAATAACAAAATAAACCTCATTTATTTCACCTGTTTTACATGAATTAAGGTTGATTTCGAGTTGCATATTTGCTAGATTACTCCACACTTGTGTATCTGTACTAATGATCTTTTTTTTCATTAATAGATGTCTTCGATCAATATTTCGGAAATTGCACTATTTTTGGTCTTTGTGTGCCTAATGTTATTCGCCGAGAAAATCTCTGTTTATCTGATTTTTGTTGCCACGTGCTTTACCATATATATCGTCAAACAACAACTTACTGCGAAATTCAATACACGTATTGAAAGATTAACTACTGATATTACATCATGAGATGCTACATTTGTTGTTAAGAGACAGAGAATTGTGGCAATGGTAAATACTATAATCAAAACTATTAATGAAATCACAACCAATTATGATTCTCTCCGTGATCAGTTGAATCATTTAACTAAAACAGGTTCTGTGACACTATTAATATCTGAACAATTTGTTGGCCCATCTATACCTACGTCTAATTCTCTCTGAAGATTTTCTGGTTCTTCTTCCAGATCTTCTGGTTCTTCTCTGGGTTCTTCCAGTGGCTCAAGCCAATTATCTTTTTCTAATATTACCTCAACAACCAGAAATCACTTTAAAATTCTTTTTGATAAGATTATGACAGACAATAATTATTCTTTAGACGATATATGTAATATGGTGTCTATTGAGATTCGTAGTCTTGGGATCAAAAAGATTAGTAAGGAAGCTATAAAAAATTTTTATTATAATAATAGTGATTTTAGAGGTAGTACTTTAAATAAAATAGATGCTTGGATCGATAGCAAAAATAATTTTAATTTAGCTAATAATATGGAGTAGCGGGAAGAAACTGCTACATTATAGTCTAGAGGCCAGCAAATTCTTCCCTTGAAACACCGCTACTCCAATATTCATTTTCTACTTAGCTAGCCCAGGCCATTTTTATATATATCTACAAAATTAATAAAGCTTTTATCTATGATTTGATTTTTAAATATATTTGTTTGCTAAGAATTAATTTATTTACTGTAGTTCATTTTGGCTTTTACAGTATAGGCGGTTGATCTGTTAAAGTAACAAAAAATTATTTGCATTATCAGAAAGATCAATGAGAAAATGAATTTTACTTATATATGTACTACATTATTGATATTACATAACAGTAGCAATATTGAGTATCAACTAATTGCAGGTTTGAATGATAAAAAATTTAGAACACGTATATATTTTTTTTGGCTAATATATAATAATGAAAGATAAGAGTAACATATTAACAAATAAAAAAAGACAAAATCACTTTGAAAAGTGGTATATCTTTAGAGGCTAGAAACACAGATGTAAGGTCTGTAACGAATGCAATCACCATTCTCACCTATATTGCAAAACATACAAAAAAGTAGTGAATGGAATATATAAGCGGTGTGAATGTAATAATGATAATTCTCGTTTAGTAAAAATAAATCAGAATCAATACATAATTTTCTATAATTCGTCTACGTAACAAAGATATTCATTTAATATGTGTTAGAATATAAAATTTATCTGTATTACAAGGCTAATTGTAATAATTTATTTAAGACGGGTACAAGTAGAAATTGCCATTTTTCATTTTTTGACCGAGGCATATCGGCTGAAATTAGTACCTAACCAAAGTCGATTAACTTATGCCACATATTGATATAAATATTTCAGTTAATTAATACATTATATGTAGAGATCTGTCTGATGAAAGCATTTAGCAATAATATACATGATTGTGACTTGCGTATTTTTCAGGATTTTGCTCAAAAATTTTAGCTATTCTACACATTGTCCAATGTATTCTCTCTGAAGTCTATGTGTTTAATGTTGTAATGAAATTGCCCTTTTTTAAAAAGCGATCATGGGTATGGTATCAGAAAGCAGGCCGTAAGTGCTGTTTCTTCCAAAATAATAATAGTCTTAAAAAATTTGAGTCGATATTGTATCACATTATCATGCGAATGACATATAAAAATATATATAATTTTTTGTATAACTACAATGAAATTTCTAAATGCAGGGTCGACTTCGAGAATTTTGACTAAAATATAGTTATGTCAGGATTGTTATTATGGAACAATGATATGTATTATTACTGTATTCAAAATCACATGTATGATCAGAAATTATGATTAAAAAAATGCATACATGATCTGTTGTGTGACAATCTAATTGTTTGTATAAGCTAGTCAGGGAATATACTGTATTTGGTTAGTGCAGATCGCATCTTAGTTGGTAATGATCATCCACCAGTTTGTTCTAGATTTCTTTTCTAGATTATTCCATGTGCGATAATAATTGGCTAATAACAGGTAACGATAACTGCTAAATCGATAAAATCGTACAAATAGCATCGCTATAATTCATCTTTGCACTTTGTATATAGTACAGTATAGTTTCAATTTATAAGAGTACTAAATAAGTCTTTTATTATTGGTTTAACCTTTTTTATTTTATACTGATTTTACATGCTTTTCATTGCACAGATGGCACTGAATTCTAAAAAACTTTCGATTTTAAGTTGTAATTATTAAACTTAACACATTTTATGTTTATGAACATAGTGCTTAAATAAAAGCGCTTAAAGAATATTACTAATTTTTTAAATCTTCATGTAAAGGATTTTAGAATAGAACTTTAGAAAAATGCTATGCTTAAGGATTTGAATCTTAAAATGATCTTGGGTATGGCAAAAAAGCATAAAACAGGTACACTTTGCAAGAACACCTGCCAACTTTGAATTTACAGCAATAATGACAAATAGTCTAGCTACCCACCATATTGCTAGTTTTTTTTAAGTTAACAATGGCACTATTTTTAAGATTTTCTAATTTTTTTTTTTTTTTTACTAGAACTGAAGGGTATTTTAATCGTTGTTTCTAACAATCTTATTTGCCTTATTCGCTAAATTCTATTCTTAACATTATAGCATTATTATATGTATTTTCTGGATCTCTGTGTTTTTTGTGTTCTTATATTTTTTTATATGTTATAATTAATGTAATAATATATCTGGGCGTTATTATTATTTATTTTGTAATAAAGCGTTATTATCAAATTCATAATAAATTCATACGATTATATCTCAATTATTTATATTATTAAAAATAATTTATTTAAAAACAAAAAAAATTTTAATAAATACTGAAATACAATTTGTGAATTAAAAATAAATTATTTATTGCAATAATATATAATCTAGTTTGCCTTAGTATTTTGATCATTAGATTCGTTATCAAATTCATCTGAATTAAATAAGCACTTTACCTCTTGTAATATACTTAACAATTCGCCTCAATTTTTTGTCTCTAACTTAGTATATTTTTTAAACATCTTCGCTAAGTTGCTCAAGAAGAGCTTTTATCTTTACCAAAATTTCAGACTTCTTTATATTTTCTTCATTATTTTGTGCTTTAGCTTTTTGTCGTGTAATCGGTATTGGCCTAAATAATAGTGGATTATTTTTATTAATAAATGTTTTTACAATAAAATCTCAACGAGCTTGTTTTGCTAAATATGAAAAATCCTTTAGATTTTCATTTAATCCATATTCTTCAAGACTCTAGCTAACAAATTCAAGACTTCGAAGATAAGTTCGAAATCTTTGATATTCCATAGACGATCCTGGACGAGACCTTGAACCTGAAGCTTGAGAGTCATTATACCCGATTATTTCAAACAAATTATTTCTAAGCTATAAATTGTTATAAAATTTTAAGTAAAAAAATATATGAGGTAATTTAATTAAAACGAAGATATTACCTCAAGAAATTTTTTACAATTATATGCCGCAGTTACCCAATGGTGATATTGTGGAATGGGGGAAATTAGAGTTTTCAAGGTCTTGTTTACCTCCTTAATAACTGCATCTAAACCTTGATATTAATTATAAATACCAGATCTTGAAACAACCCAATTTTTCTCTATAATGTCTCGTATTTTGGGGTGAAGCCGAATCGATTGAATTTTCTCAGAAACTTCTATAAGGTGATATATAGGGTGATGTCTTGCAGACCAAATAGGTGAAAACACTCTTCTAGCTACTCATTTTAATAAAGGGTTGTTAGTTCTAATAGTCTTCTGGTAATTGATTATTGCTTGAAAGTAAATAAATATCTATTATAATAAAAGGTAATTTCAGTATTTTAGAATTTTTTTTTTTTAATAAAGAATTAATTACATTAACCTGTTCATATTTTAACTTGTATAGTGAATCTTGACCATTAACCTAAGCAAAATATCCTTCGACCGATATCTAAGAATTGCTTTTTATATATAGCCATATAAGTTCTATAGAAATCGCCTGACGGTATATGTTGTAGATAGAATCCCAAGACTTATGATGATCTGCACACTTTTTGAAATATGAAAGTTGATTCTCTGTTCGATAGCCTTGGCATCTTGCAAACCATTTTATATCTATTTCCCTAAAATAGAATTTAATTATGTAATGTTAATGCTAATTTTTAGTAGTCTTCTTGGCATTTTAGAGAATATCGACTAGAGCATTTTATGTAATTAAAATTCTTAAATTCCAAAGTTAATAATCTTTTAATTTGCCCCTGCATACTTCTATTATCTTAAACAAAACAGGGCAACCTTTAAAATCAGAATTTAAATCAATATAGCAGATCAAGTATTTTGATATCCAACAATTAAATCATCAATTCAATATAAAAATTCATAGTACAGTAGTAAAAAATTTATAACTAACTAGTTTAACTCCACAAATGCTTATCTCTTCATGTAATGGCTCTAAGATAAAAACAAGCCACGAAAATTTTTCTCTCAATTTTAGAGCATGATGGTATAGAATGCCATCACAAGTTATCACCATCCACTTGAGAGCCCCACTTTTAATTCCTGTGATTGTTTCTATATATAAAAAAACTTTTTCAATATTAGCAATTGAATTGGGATTAATATTAACCAGATCAGGAATATAAATGTCAGGAATGTTAACTTCTTGATCAAAAACTTGTCGCTGAGTATTACTGATTCTAGGAATATTAGTAGAACTTGAACTTGATTCGTTATCAAAATTATATTGTCTAAAAACAAGTAAATTATCAGTCTTATTAATTTCATCTTCAACAACTTTTTCCTTTTGAATTTTGGCTAACGTTGGTAATCACATTCCACAATCAGGGCAAACTTTTCTTCAGTTTTCAATTTCTCGTTTATGGCAGCTAGGGCATTCTTTTATATTAGTAATTTTAGTTCCTGTAGATGCTACAAGAGTATCAATAGTATTAATAGAGGATTTTTCTTAAGATAATAAATTTAATATATTATCAAGGTAATCATATAATTCTTTGTCAACAGCTTCTTGCATTTGAGGGCTAACTTCAAAAAGTTCGTTGTACTGTAAAATATTAAGAGAATTATATGCCCAAGGCGAATTAGTAATATGCTGGATTCTATTTTGTAATGACATATTAAAAACAACAAAACTTGTAACAATATGGTAAATCACAGTATTAAATCCTCGATCAAGGTAATTTTTCTGTCCCCGCTATTTGTTATCGAATACAAGAAACAAAAGACCTTCAGGTAATGGTTCTTCATGCTTTGATAACTCTTCTATCTATTTTTGAAATCGATAATAACTTCCTGAACTTGTAATATGGTTATCAATATTGATAATCATCTTTGACCATGCAATTGAATACTTAATAGCCAAAAGAGCAAGTTGAATTTCTGATACGTATTTTTCATGTCGTGCACCATATAAAGAATCAACTACAGAAGCAACCTTAAAAAGCTTTTTTTGACTTAAAATATTAGTGCTTCTATTATTTTTAACAAGATTTTTGATGAATTTAACAACAACTTGATTACGTTTATTAAGCCACTCACCGGAACTATATAGTACAAAATTTTCTCACATCGTCGAAAAATAATATATACTCCTCATTTGCTATTTCAACAATTGCATCAATACGTTTTTGTTGATTAGCAAATCTTGAATTCCACTGTTCAATAAGGACCTTATTGTGTCTGTATTGTTCAGAATACAAAATTTGAACTTTAATAATATCATCGCGAGCTTTTTGTAATTGATCTCTTAACACCTCAATTTCATTCTTCTGGCTTTCTATATACTGCATTTGTGCGATTTGGCTATTGAAAATCATTATCTCTTGGGACTTTTGCAGATTTTCCACTTGTACAAATTCTAAAAGCCATTTAGTTTGGTCGAGTTCAACTGTCAGATCAATATAGCTAGCATGAAGTCGACTTTCTTGAACAGAATCTATAATATGCTGATAAAACTGATTAGTATTAATTACTTGATTGTAATATATCTGACAAATTGAATAATTTGCTAAAGAAAAATAATATTCAGCAAGTTCAAGAATATAATCATGATATTTTAAAAGGTTCTTAGCTACATTCGCACTATCAGCATGTCACCACATTTGTAATTCACTAGTTTTACAAGGTTTTAAATAAAATGCCTTATACTGCTCAATAAGATTGGTAAAATGCACTTGAGAGTATGCGCTTTAGGTCTTTGGTAAGTAGACACTATAAGAAAAAAAAAAAGCAAACATTTTAATTAGTGAAATTCTGTTCTTTTGTATGTATTAACTACACGTGAATGCATAATTTGAGGTCTTATTTACTTTGGCTAATTAAGTGAAACTCAACTGATTAACTTTGATTATCAAAACTAGAGGTCGAATATTATATGTCCTAAAACTTTTTAGTATTAAGCAATTAATATAAAAATTCACGTTGAAGCGATAAAAAAAAGTAAGCATAGACCAATCAAATTATAAGAAT